ACATTACGCATAATTCTTATAGGTTTTTTTTTTGCATTTTTAACACTTTTGAAGCGTATGTCTCACCACCTCATAATCTAAAATTCCGTGGAATAATGCCATGTGTACAATTTTTATTACCCAAAGGTCAATATCATTCAGATTGTATAGTGTTGAACTGCTCAAAAATGAATAGGGATGTTTGTAATTTATTCTAATTCTATTAATTTTAATTAAAGTAACCTGTATATTCTTGTTAGTTGAATAAAACAAAATAGAAAAGACAAACCAAAAACAAAAATATTAATCCTCATTTTTTAATAACAGACTTACTTAAGAATAGTAAACATGAAGATTTTGTAAACAAACACCTTTTTCTCGTCTTTTCTCCATTGAATCCAGCTTCTATCAAAGCAAAGACATCTTGAACCAGAAGTTCGCAATATTATTGTGACGATGAGCCATCGAGGTCACCGGCAAGTGGATATCGCGGAGGCAGATGGTGTTTCTCAGAGTGTGGTCTCCCGGGCTTTAGCTCAATTCCGAGAGACCGGAAGTGCCAATAGGGCGACTGGTAGTGGATCTCAGGGAGTACAGAAATGATGACGGAACCCTTTCTATAGTGCCTGTAATCCTGAATGAAGTAGATGTTTTGGGAAGGCCTTTATCAACACAAACGATTCGTAATCGTATTTGTTAGAAAAAGTAAAACATTGGAACTCCAATCGACGGCATGACAGGGGTTATCCCACTTAAATGGATTACAATTTAAGATAAAGTCGGTTGAAGATTTGATTGAGTTCTGAGGAGCTTATTTGTAGCCACGCCCTTTCCTAAGATTATGCTACGTTGGGGACAGAATAGGTTAGGTAGGGTTAGGATTGAGGACAGGTTAGGTAAGGTAGGGTGTATTTAGGGGTTGATCATACCTTCGCTTCCTAGTATCCTAATCTTCACCTATTGGCCTAACTCTCCTGGAAAACGTCCTGACGTACTAGACTTAACTTATACGCTCAAAAATTACTTCTCTCTACTCGAAAATCTTAAAATTGGACGAAATATCTGACAATAACCATGTTCCTCTTTTTACGATCTCAACCTTTCCTAAACATCTTAAACCGTCCTTTGCCAATGGTTACATCGACTGGACGCTTTCAGAACTTTCCCCACTGAAAAAAAAAATAGAGTTCGCTAATTCATTTGTAACTCCGGAACAAATTTACGACGGCGTTAAATGTTTTTACTACCCCCGTACAACAAGCTATTTTTGGACTACAAAGACAAAATAAATAGGCGAGCTAGGGCATGTTCGCAGAACCGTACCGTGACATGCACGAGTCCGTCGCCTGAACTATTCGAGCGCCGCGGTCCCCAATATGTTTTGGGCTGTATAAACAATTTTTTTTTTTGCTTGAACATTCTGGCGTCGTCCATTTCGCGTTACAAGGGAGAACACATGGTTTGGATTATGGTTAGGATCGGGTCAGGCTAGGTAGAGTTAGGGTTAAGGACAGGTTAGGTTAGACTCCATGAGAGCGCGAAGCGCGATTTACTTTCTCGAAAAGGTCTACTTTATAAACAAATGAAGGGTAATACTTTCGGGTTAAAGTATTTGGGGTTAGGTAACTATTAATGGTCATTAAAACTCGAACAACCTTTGCTTTACAAACTGCATTATTTTCGGGTTGAGAAAAACGTAATTTAAAAGAAAATTATGCCCATGAAAAACGACATTCGGACATAATGATACAACTAATTAACTTATAACTGTGTGCTGTTCGTTGAAATTACTGACTAATTGTCTTGTTACTTTTAAATTGAAACGAAGATAGGTTGTCCTGTTGAAAATTTTGATTTCCTAGCAAGTCATATTTCTTGCCGTTGTAGGGCCCTTGCGGCTAACTTAGAAGCACTTAAGCTTACCTGCGTTAAGGGATAAGGAGGTCTCGAGGTCATCATCAGTTAAGGCGTCGTGGCAGGTTCTCGGGATGGAAATGAATGAGAGGGCTCGAGCAGTATGGTTGGGATGGATTGAGAGAGAGGTTGTAAAACTATTATAATCGGGAACGGATCATTCGTTCACAAAAGAAATGCTGTATAGTGAGGTTAGGTCGTAGTAAGGAGGATTGACAATTTCTCCAAGGACTTTTTATTGGAAGGATTGGTGCGCTGTATATTGGTTGGCTTGGCAAGAACCCCACAGTTCCGTCCAAACTGGTCGCGGTAAAATTTCGGGATGGAAATGAATGAGAGGGCTCGAGCAGTAGGGTTGGGATGGTTGGGATGTATAAGGTTAGTTTAGTTTTGACGGTCGTCAATTTCGGTCCTAGACGTCTTCTTAGTTGTCCAAGTCTTCCGTTGAGTTGTTGTCTCTTAAGTCTTGTGTGGCAGGTCCAGGTCTGCTGTCTAGGTATAGCCTTAAGCATTTGACTTGTATGGAAGTCGGTATTTCTTTGTTGTTGCTGTAAAGTGGAGGGCAAGGCTATTTTTTCAATGTGAACGTACACTGGGTAATTTTTCTTCATTCAGTCTTGTCCTTGACTTTTTGATCAGCAGATAAATGATATACCAAGATGCCCCCTCGCAGTACGCCGGCTTGTATCGGTTTGATTTCCGAGAACTCGTCACTTTGAAGCAGCGGTCTATTAGGTAGGATTTCAGGATAAAGTAATAAGAATTGAGTAGGAAGCGTTTAAGTTTATAATCGGGGTGACCCTATCAAATGCCTGTGATGCATCTAGGAACGCACCCAAACAATACTCTGCCGCAGGAGATGGTGTCAACAACTTTGAGCTTAATATGTTTTTCTTTGAATATTTAAATTTCATAATCTTTTTTAATGAAGAGGTTATATAGTATTTACATAATGTAGTGGATAATAAACTTCAACAACACGAATCTATAGATACGTTAACAGCCGTATGATACATAGCGGAGTTCGCTAGTTTTTTGCAATTTTTTGCTTATTTTTATTCTAGCAATTATTGTTGTAATTTTTAACATGAATTTTTGGGCTGGATACATAAAACTTCATTTTGCATGACCGTTTTCGCGTTAGCGGGGAATGGGGTTCGGGTTGATTAGGTTAGGAATGGTTAGGTTAGATAGTGTTAGGTTAAAAATGGTTAGGTTAGATTATGGGCGGGTTAGGTTTCATTTTCATGGTTCAATGTTTTTCCAAGAAGGAAGTGCGAGGTTTTTACAATAAATATGAACTTTTTAAAAAAATATCTTTTAGCTTTTGAATCAAACTCATGCTGTTTCACAAAGCCAAAAAACACTTGCTTAATTGTTCGCTGGTTGCATCGCCATAATGCAATGTTCTGTTATATCATGAATGAATGGTAGAAGCTATTTTTAGGTCTACTTTGTCGTATGTCGCGTTGTGGCGATGAGACTTGGCAAGCCTTAGGACAAAGGGTTTTGTTGTTGCCAAAAGTGAATTTTTTTACAACAAACTGACTGTTTTAAAATAGAAAACGTCTTGTGTTGTTTTTGCCCGTTTCATACCTGGATGCTGAGTGTTTAAAACAAAAAAATCAAATTTCAAATAAAAAATTGCATTGGAGAAGATAGTTAATAGCCAACTCAGTCCCAGTTCTTCAAAAACCTCCAAGACTATATCTCCTGTTTGGAAGAATGGTTCATAAAATGGAGGATTAAACTGAATGAAACCAAATCCCAGCAAATAACTACACCCGTCGCCATATCACCTTTTCTACAATCCACTACAACTCTACTCCTCTCCCAGCAAATAATGTCATCCACTATTTGAGACTCTACCCCGACAAAAGACTTGTAATACCCACAGTTGTCTCAAAAGAATAGTACTGAACAGACAGTATAAATTATTCAAACGACTTGAACTACTTGACAACTTATCGAAAACAAACGCCTCATCTATATATCATTTCTACCACCAATCTGAACATATGGAATTGAACTGTGGTGTTCAACCAAGCGTTCCAACCTACAAAGAGTCCACTCCAGTCAAAAATCCTTTGGACCATTGTCCAAGCTCCATACTTCGTACAATGGTATACCATACAACCTTACTATTTACACAAACATCCAAATCTCTTTTATCTTTGAACTGGAGTTGATACAGACACCTCTGTAAGTCATCGAAACTCATCCCAGCCCTCTATTCCAACACCTTTCACCTCGAACCATCCCTGACAATCCTCTAAGATGCAAAGCATTTCTCCTCCGTAATGTGAATAGTGAATTGAATCAGTTTCAAGCTGAGAAAACCAAATAAGCGAGGAGGACTGTATTGGGATTGATATGTCTGCAGTGTATACCAAGTAGTGAATGGGAGGATGCTGCTTTGCAGAACCCTCGCTTTGTCATAGTGAACGGTTGAAAAGGATGTTCCAATTTGTATTGGAAAGTACCTTTTGAACAGATAAGATTATAGGATAAGGAAATGCATGAATGGATTATTTGAGTTTCCAGAGCAAGCCCGGGTGCCAAACTCAATTGAAAGCTTAACGTCTAAGAAAGCACCTGAGAAGAATTCCTTTTGCTTCCTTCCTTCAAGGGAGGATGCGATGATATCTACCACACTGTGGCTCTGATCAATGGTAGAGTGATGGTAGCGGGATGAAATAACATTGGAGCTTTCAAAGATGGGATGCAGTTATTTCAGGACCTTTTCGAGTATTTTGCCAAGCAATGGTAGCATACTGATAGGGCAGTATTACATAGGGAGATTGTCAGGTTTTTGTTGTTAGAGAATGGGTTTATAGTTTGATCTAGTGCCTTAAAAATAAAAAATAAATCATTCAAATTTTTGATCCTACATCCTTAGCCTTCCCTTGTAAGTAAGCCTAAGCTGATGTCTCCCGGCTACCACTTGAAACTTCCGGGTGAAAGATAAACATTGAAGGTTTGCAGTGTGAAGGATTTGTTATGATTTAAAATACCGATAACAATTTTGTTGTATCTGCCATTTTCCAGTTGTTTTAAAATGAAATGTTGTTTTTAAATTGTAAAGTTCTATACCCTTTCACCCAGACAACAGGTGACTGGATGTGACTCGACTTGTCACAGTGGCTCTTGTCCCCCGGCGACTAATGGTGACATGATTTAAGCTTGTCTTAGATATCACCTTACATCTCCACAACTATTTATTGTAGGTGAATAAAAAGGACTCGACATATTTAGTTTCAGTATTTCTACAAATTTAATTGTTACAAATGTTTTGTACAATCAGCTGTGTTTTCAAAAAGTTTGTTATTCATTCAAAAACAGTTGGACAGTACCAGATCACTTGCACTAGTCGACACCGGTTTCATTATCAACTGGTCACATGGCTGAGGTGACAGCATGGAGTTTTGTCATGTCTTGTCTCCTCTAGACTCCTGTGTAAACCTCAAGTTAAAGACAGCCTGACAAGATCCACCACCCTCGTTTCAAAATTATAAATTTTATTTAGTTAAAGCCTCACCCACCTCAGCCCAGCTGATGTTGTCTATAATTGAATCATCAAGATGCACTTAAATGCAAAGCAATTGCTCAGGGACATAACCCAGGGTACCAAAATGACCCTGAAAAAGAATTTCTGCAATAAGTCAATAACAGTTCTACTCCTTAAAAGTTATCAAGTTATGTGGCATACAGATCACCCAACAACCACTTAAGGAATAGGTTCTATGCAAGGCCAAAATACAATCAAACTCATAAGTACACCTTGAAATCAAGCTGAAATGCATGCTTTAAATGTGCACTGAAACTCTTAAAAGAGGTTAAACTGGCAAAAGAATCCTGTGAAATCCGTCAGTCAAGTGGCCCTAAAAGGATTAGCACATCAAAATATATCCAAAATAGTCAGTGAGTGTATCCAAAACGTAGGAAAACCTAACCTATAAACTGGCTAAAGGTGGATCCGCAAGATGATATGCTCTGGAACCTATTCCTGGGTTAACAAAAAACAAACCTAGAATCCTCCATCACAAAGTGGATCCTAAAAAGACAAAAGGAGAAATGGATAAATCAGATTACTAGGCACTAGACACAGCACTAACCTCACAGAAACTGGCAAACTAGGATAGGACCAGTCACTGGCATCTGAGAAAACAATAATTTAGTCAATACCAATTATTTTTTCTCTACCTATTCTCGCAGGTCCGGTCCGGTAGAATTTCGCCAACTTCAGTGTTGGGTGTCACTCGAACAGAACTGAAAAAGCCAAAACACATTCATTTTAATAAAGAACCATATTACAAATACTGAATTATCTCTACTATAATTAATATCAGCCTTTATATATAATCAATAAGGAAGAGATAAGCTCATTAAAAAATTTATAATTAATTAATTGAAATCAGTTTTGTGTAAACATCCGTAGTAACAAATGTAATTTTGTCATCAGTTGTTTTGCCGATGTGAACTTTCGACGTTTCTTTGCATTATGTTTTATCTTTTAGAGAGATGAGTCATGGAGATAAGATTCTTACCATGAGTTTACCCAAGGAGCCGCTGGATTTGGGAACTCCCCCTAGGCTCTACTATCCTTTGGTCATATTCCTCGTCCGAGACACTCCTGGGACCCTTCACCCAGATGAAACAGTAAGTCATTTTGTGTTTTGGGTTTTTTTATTACAGGCAAAATTTAATAAAATCACAAATCGTTCCAGGTTGCTCTTATAAATGTAGTACATATAAAAGATGCAGTGTGTACTTTGCCTACAAGCATCCTCGCCCAATATCTGAAACAGGCGAATGGACAGTTATCCTGCTTGAAGGTAAATTTTTATTAGAAAAAGATAGAGATTGTATTGATTCACTTTTTTTTATTTTATTTTATTTTTTTAAGCAACTCTATCTTGCAACTGGAAATCCTCTCAGCTACGAAACAGGACTAGATTTGGTAGGAGACGGAATAGAACAACTCTGCGTTGTTTGCCAGTATTTTCCTCTCTCGCGTGCCTTGCTTCCCTGCAGACACACATGCATATGTGCCTCCTGTTTTGGGAAATTAGACACATGTCCGATGTGCAGGTAATTAAAAAGTTTTTCGATGCGTTTAACCTTCGTTCTTAATGTGCATGTGTATTCGTTCAGTGCCTTTGGAGATTTTATTAATTTGATCTTTTTAGGACTCCCATAAAATCTTACTTTTGCATCAGAAGTGAAGAATATTTACCCGAATGTGACAAATCCGGTGCTCCTCCATCGAAAGCCGAACCCATAACCCAGTGGCTTCAAGACAGGCTTACCGACTTCTTAGGCTTCCACCAATGAACAACCCTTCAACAAAAATTTTCCTCTCACTCAAATATTTGTTTCGGGCCCTAGAGCATTTTAAGAATAGAAATTATTATTGTGATGTCTACCGAATGAATAAATTTTGTTGTAAAAGACGTCTTTTGGTGGAAATTATTTATGCATGGTTTTTGCGAATTGAAGAAGGCATGGATCTCTTTTTTCTTTCTTTTTTTACAGTTTTTTTTGTGTTTTTTCTGGTAAAGTTATTACAATATTATAGTAAATTATAATTTTTACTTGCCATTTAACACAAAATGTTTGTTTTCTCTCTCTCAAATTGTTAGTTTCTATGAAATGATTTATATACACTGCTCCACAAAAAAAAAGAAAAAAAAAAAGTGGCGCACATTGAAATATTCACTTTTTTAGTACAAAAAATAAGTTGAATTTAAAAAAAAATTTGCTTTCTTGAAAAAATAATGAAAAGAATAAATTTATTATAAACACTTGGAGCTGATAAAAATAATTTTAATAGATAGAGTTACTGCCTCCACTACAAATCACAGCCTCTCATCTTCGTGGTATACTTCTTATTAAGTTTACAATAACATATTTGCGGGATTTCCTCCCGTGTTTCAATTTGCAGGTCTTGATTCTCGCAAGGTGATAGGAAGGTTTTCTTGCCGTCGAACTCTTCTTCCGAGTTCATCCCAAAGATGCTCTATTGGAAAGAAAAAAATATATTTAAACTGAGAAGGCTGATCAATCACCAAAGAAAATATATGCTCTATTGGGTTTAGATCAGGTCTACAAGCTGGCCGTCTTAATGTCCAAATGCCGACTTCCCGAAGAAATTGAACAATTGGCAACAATATGGTCTTGCATTATTGTGCATTAAAATAAAAATTTTGCTAATAAAGGGGGCGTATACACATATTACTGAAGAATGCCTGTTACGTACAAATTCGCATGAAGTGACGGCCAATTCAGTTCTTCCATCAAAGATATAAGCCTCCGTAAACAATCACTGAGCTACTAACGAATAGCACCATTCCAGTCCTTTTGCATGGTGTGTGGCCTTCGGTAGATTCATATTAACCATCTGGAGATAACAAAAACAAAATGGGACTTACCGGAGAACATTACATTTCTCCATTCATTCTTTGTCTAATTCTGATGTTCTCTAGCAAACTCCAGTCAGACTCTTTGATGATTTGTCATGAGAATCATCCTTAGGCTCTGTCACTCTCGGTCGTCCCAATCCTGGCCTCCTAGGATAGGAACCAGTCTCCCGATACCGTTGTATTGTACGGTAGTTTTGAGCAATCCTAAAACACGCGCACCAGACCGTTGACTTAACTCTTCTTCAACTAATGCAAAAGTATAAGATACTTGCTCCTCAGAAATAACCATTTTTGATAAAATTTTAAATTAAATTTAAAATTAAACGATTATAAACCCAAATGAATCAAAACTGAGATTTGTTGGTTTGGAAATAATCAACATAATATTAAAACTTGTGCATTAAAGGATTAAATAGATTATTCCTCATCGTAAAGAAAAAGATAAACGATAATATAAAATAATGTATAATAATGCTTTATAAACGCAATAAATAGACAATATTTGCAAAATAAAAATTTAAAAAACTAAGTGCGCCACTTTTTTTTGTGGAGCTGTGTATATGCGACAAAACTAGTATATAGATATATTTTGGAAAGTTAGTTATTAAATAAAAATTATATCAACATAAAACTTCTACTTAAATTAAACCATCTCTTCTTTCTTCTACTTCTACTGTAAGCATATTATATACAATATAATATGTATATATAGATTATTTTTAGGGTAATTGTATGTATAGATTTTTCCTTCTTCTTAAATAAATAAAACTCAGATTTTATCAAATTGATATTTATAAAATTTAAAAAATAAATAAAATAAATAATGCCTCTTAGTCGTATTGAAACTTTTCATTCAATATTAAAAACTTGCTTCTTTTGAATCAACTTTCAATGGAAATTCAGAAGTTTTTGATTTTGATAGAAATTATTTTTTTATAGTAGGATTTTTATATTATTTTTTCAAAAAAAAAAAAATTATTTACAAAATAAATCTAAAAAAATGACTAAAGTATAACCATTTTTTCTTCTTCTATTCTATACCCTTAAATACTTTGAAAATGAAGTGATACTTTATTTCATTAATCATCGATTTACTACTCAAATCTGATAATCAATCTTTTGTTTAAAAAAAAGTTTATTTTCAATAAAGTATTAGATGCACTGACCACTTTTTTACTCACGAATAATCTGGATCTCGGTGTGGTCTGGATGAAAAATCAAATTCAGTTGTTTTGTGCCAAGCTTTCAACTTACTTTAACACTAAACGTACAAGATTTAATATATACCTATTTGTACCGCAACCGGTCAAATGAGCGGTTTTTAGAGAAGGGCTTTTTCCCGATTGATTATAGAAATATTGATTTTGGTAAGGAAATGTTATACAAAGTAACATCAATGTAATAATTAAACAAAAATGTATTTTTTTAAATTAATTTATTAGAATTTATCTGTTTTCAAGCGTTTTTTTTTAAATAAAAACGGATAAATCTGGGAATTTCTATAAAACAATTTCTGCTCATTGTATCTGAGAAAAATTTAGGGCTCATGTTTTATTCACAAAATAGAAACTTTCAAATTGTTTGCTTCATATCAACATAACATTATGTTTTGCATTTCTTCCCCAAAAATATGATTATTACATTTTTCCCATACAGTTCCATCAATTGCAATATGCTGATCTTTTTTTTTTTTTCATTTTGTTCTTCAGAACTTAAGAGCAATCTAATTTTTTTTCATCCTCCACATTTATTTACAATATTTTCTTCATTGACTCAGACTCACTGTCGCTAGAAAGCAAAATATAAAAAGAATTACCAACAATATTTTTACCCTTTCGTTCCACTAAAATGATACTTGCAACTTAAAATTTTAGGTGCTTTATTGAAATTTCAATTCGCAACTATTTTCGATTGAGCTAACTACGCAACAGTCTTTGTAGAAGTATACCATAAACTCATATAATACATAGAATGATAAATTAGCATTACATTTTTGAATCCAATGCTCTTATAAGGCAGTACATATTTATCTCGGTGAAATGACCTGCCGTGGTAAATAATGCTTGACTACACGTTTTTATCAGATTTAACAAATAAAAATACAAATAAATGATGTAAAATTAATTGTATACATTTAATAGAAAAAGTCAAATATGAAAAGCGATAATGTTTTATGCGAATTTTCCAATCAAAAGTTTACAACCGGTCATGGCACGTGTAGTGTTAAGGTTTGACTATTTTATCAAGATCAATAGTAGTATTGAGGCAATGTTGAGACTGATTATGTCTTCAAAGAAATTTGAAACCTTATTAACTACTTAATTATTTCAATTTGTAGACATCTTAAAGATTGTTTTGCCCCTTAAAGTAAGTTGAAAGCTTGACAGATAACAATTGAATTAATTTTATCATCATAGACCATACCAAGAAACAGATTATTCGTGATTTTAAATAAACAAAAATGTAAAAAAAAATTTTTTGAACTAACATTAGGTTTAAATAAACATTTTTGTGCCAACTTTTACATCACTCAACCTTTTATCTATATGTCTTCCTTCAGTGAGTTAGTATATGATTTTTTTTTTCTAATGAAACCTTAATTTAAAAACTTCTCTTAACTCTAAATGTTTTCTACAGATCAGAAACTTGTTAATTCAATTTTAATAATAGTTAAAAAAAATTTCAAGGGGAGGAAACAATGAGGGTGAAATGGTGTAAATCTTACAAGAGGCCAAAAGTTTCCAGTATAATTAATGATATTAACACCGTCATTTTAATAGTTTGAATCATATTGTCTGCCATCGACTGACAAAAATCAGTGAAGATAGGCAGACGAACTATTAAACTATAGGTTTCTCACCCCGCAGACCAGTGAAGACAATCTTACAATTTGCCATTATTTTTAACTGATGGAATTGCATCGTTACTCTTGTTTTTATGTAGGTAAACACTAAAACTAGTTGGCACAAAAATGAATCCTTGTCGTTTCTCTCCTGGAAACATTCATTTCTACTTAGATACTTCCCAAAAACAATAAATTTTCTGTGAGAAAATAAACTTAAAAAAAAATTCAAATACATCATATACAATTTTTATGAAAAACATGAATTTCAATTTCTAAAACCTTTTAGTTGTGGGGGGGGGGTGTCGAATATTGAATATTGTACTGAAAATGCCTTAAAAATGTGATTTTGGAAACAGTTGTTATATTTATAAAATAAGTTTAAAAAGAAAAAAATTCTAATTGGTGTTTTTACAATGCGTATTTAATACTTTCTTATCACAAATAGATAGGTTTTTAGTTTTTTTATACTGTAAAGATTTGATAATTTGAATAATTTGAGCGGTTTGATCAACACTACCCATTTCTGATTCCATTGGACGCCGGATCCATATGATTTACATTAAATTGTCTTTGTGTTCCAGCAAAGAAATTTGATTAAAAAAAATACAGATGGTGAAATCCGCTCGTACAGAATTAAAATCTTCCAATTGAGCCGGATACATTGAATTTCATCATATTAATCAGAGATAATTTTAAAAATAGGTTAATTTGAAAGATAGAAACTCAGTCTCTTTGTCAAGCTTCTGAGGAATTTATAATATAATCACAAATTTTTATTTCACCATAATAGAAAATACAAAAGATAATTTTTTTTTTAAACTCAAAGTCAAATAAGAAAGTCATTTGTTACTCTTCCATTACAGCCTCCTTTACATAAGTATAAATACTGCCATAAGTAAGGGATTGTAAAATTAACAAAGTAAAATTTATTATATTAAAACAAGTAAAAAATAATATTAATTTTTAAAAAATGGAGAAACTTAATCTTTTGAGTGAAGGCTGTATGAATGTATAAATTTTTTGTAACTGACTAAAGTTGTGAAATTATTGATATTCTATTATCATAAATGTATTAAAAATAATAAATGCATTAAGTCCCGCCGGTGTAGGGTTTCCCAAAGGTATGGCAGGGTGGTGAATGGGGAAAAATTATATATATTGGTAAATCGTGGCAATAATGGTTTAGGGGCTGACGAACAGCTGAGGACATCATTGGCCCTCTGCTTGTTTTTACTTCTTTTTCTGGTCTTTCAGGCATATTTTTCAACCTATAGTCATTTGCTCGATCTTTTACTGACTCTCTGCTTTTATACGAAAACTATATTGATATCCTAAAATGCTAGCTACTCATTTCTACCTCTGGTTGTCAATTTACAGAATAAATCATACAATCTATATCACCGTAAGCATAGAACTA